ACATTGTCCGTCATGCCACCTCGTTGCTCTCCTATCTCCATTCTGCTTCCCATCTTTCTGGCCAAAAGCATTCCGATAAGGTACTGCTATTCTTATTACGGGTTTTACTCAAAACTTCTTCTTTCTTTCTTTTTATCCTCGTTTGGGTTCTTCTGATTTAAAGATTGTTTTTTGAAACAACAAATTTGATCATCGGTTTTTGGGCTGTTTTCGTTCTCTTCTGAGTTTGGCGATTATAAGGTTAGCTGTGTGATATTCGCTATTGATGCTTTTCGAAGGTACATTATGTGTTTTTCACCTTTTCTACTTCTTCTTCTTTTTTTTTTGGCAAAAATTTAATTCTGGCTAGGAATTTGCTTTATTTTGTTCTTGAAATGTAGAGATTTTAATTTGTTTTTCCTGAATCATCAAAGGATTACATTGAAGATTAACAAAGTTTAAATGTAGAGATTTTAATATGGTGTACTGCAATCTCAAGGTGCTGTATCTGGCACTCTTTTCCTGTGGGGGGCCCCGGGGAGGGGGGGGTTACCTATTTCTCTTTTTGCTCACAATTATGAGAGGAGGACATTGCATTTGAGAGCTGTTACTTGTGCATTAAATTCATTATGTTCTCAGCATTAAAATTCAGTGACACAGCTCAACTTGACGTCATTTTGTAACAGTTTAAACTTGGCAAAAATTTTGCAGTGCATAATTCCCTCTGTTTGTTGTTTTGATGTGTCAAGTACTGACTATTGATTCCGAATTGCGTGCCCAATTTTTGAGTTGCAGATGTCAGAATTAGATGTGCTCATAAGGGAGATGAAGCTAATTCTGTACGGAAATGGTGAATCTGAGCCTGTTGCTGAAGCCTGCGCACAACTGACTCAGCAGTTCTTCAAGGAAAACACCCTTCGGCTCCTCATTGTTTGTCTTCCAAAACTCAACTTGGAGGTGAGCTTATTATTTAATGTTGTAAGCTTACCTGTAATCGGAACGAACACCAATTCCTCTTTGTAAATTGTTTTAGTCTTGTTTCACATTTATGCATTCTGATCTAGAAACTATGATTATCGGAGGCTTTTTTTTTTTTCTATTGCTGTTGCTTATTTTTGAATAACCATTGCTCTATAGGCACGTAAGGATGCCACCCAAGTTGTTGCAAATTTGCAAAGGCAGCCAGTTAATTCGCGCTTGATTGCTTCTGATTACTTGGAATTCAACCTGGATCTGTTGGACTTATTAATATCAGGGTGAGTCATCATTGGCAGTATGTTTGCATATTATCACCATCTTGCATATGTTATCTCCTATTATAAGTTTCCTTTGGTCTAAAGTCTTTTTTGTAGCATGTTGGAATCTATAAAAAGATCTTACAGTTCTTTCTGGTCAAATTTTTCTTTGGGAGGTCAGGATAGATGATTACCTGCCGAAAAAGTCACACCAAAGAAATTAGGAAAAAATCTTCTACCTGGAAGCTTACATTGCTGGCCTCCCGACCCATCTTTCTGTGCCATGAAGCATTCTTCTCTATGGATCATTTAGAATACCTTTAGCAAGCAGGAGGCTTTTGAGAAACTGAAGTTTTATAATAATATGTGCTAGAAGATCATGTCCTATCTTTAGCACAGATTGCCTGAATACTGGTCGAAAAACCACATTGCAAATAAGCTTGTCAATTTTTTTATCATTTGTTCATGATAATTCTATATTTTCATGCTGTGGTCGTCTGTAATTCCAACTAGAATTAGCCTATGCTCAATTAGGTGATTGGGTCCAACTTAAGTAGATAATCTGCCAAATTGCATGTTTTACTTGAGAAAATGCAATAGCTTGTCCAGAAGTACAACCAACTCAGAAAAGGGAATATTTTGAAACTTTTTTTTTTTTTTAACATTCCTCATCCTACCTAGGTTTTGTAGGAAGAATTCTGGAAATATTCTGAGAGCCTAAGTAATCTATACCTCAATAGTTTCAGTTCATTGACATGGCCTTAGCTTCGCCACCCAAACCCCCTGCCCCCTTTTGTTATAGCTATGAAGATCCAGCAATGGCTTTGCACTATGGAGGAATGTTGAGAGAGTGTATTCGCCATCAGACAGTTGCAAGGTAAGCAGTTTGCAAGCTATTGGATGTTGAAATTCTCAATTTAGTTTTATGTGTTTACTTATTCAATGTTGTTTGCTATGGTTTTATGATTTTTCGGTCAGGTATGTTCTGAAATCAGTGCACGTGAAAAAGTTTTTTGACTACATGCAACTCCCAAGTTTTGATGTTGCTGCTGATGCCACAGCTACATTCAAGGTTATATTTGTTGTTTTCTGGCTCCCACCTCATCGTCATAGGGCATCCATTGTTAACCTTGAGATTTTATTAAGCTCACTTATCGTCACAAAGATGCATTTGGCTTCTTTTGCATCACTGTCAAAAGCAGTTTTGAGTCATTGAGTTGTACACTTACTATGACATTCAGCAATTTTGGGCCATATAGAGTTCTGGTATAAGCTTGCTATAAAAATGTTGAAATTGCTATCAGGACTTAAAAGGATTTTCTGGCCCTGGGAAAATGGCAGTTAAGCTTACAAGATGTGGAAGGATAGGAAAGCAGCTTTATATTCTTGCCAGGGTCAAATGACATAATTTTATGTTCCAGAACTACTTTTTTTTTAACTAAAATTTCATTTGGTTCTCTTTTAATGGATTACCATACTAATTAAATCAAATTATTTGTGCATGGCATTGGAAAAGCAGCCCCTCCCCCCACCTTTTTTTGATAGATCTTATCCCCTTTTTGGATTCTTAAGAAACACGTTAATAAGTTTTGGTTATTCTGGCAAAATCTTGCAGGAGCTTCTGACGAGACATAAGTCCACAGTTGCAGAATTTCTTGCTGAAAATTATAATTGGGTAAGTTCTTGCTTCCATTGGTGCAAGAGTCTCATTTAGTGCCGCACTTAATGTTTCAAGTGTCAAGGTTTCTTTTGTGAATTCTGTAGTTTCACCATTTTCTTTGTTCTCTAACTTTATAGTAGTTTAACCTTTGCTATCTTCATATTTGATCTTCAGTTTTTTGCTGAATTCAACTCGAAGTTATTGGAATCTCCAAATTATATCACTAGAAGACAAGCTGTCAAGGTATTCATTCGCCAAGCAATTACAATATACTATTGGTGTTTTGAGTTTTGACATCATTTATCCTTAGAAGATTTTATATGGCTGTCATAATTGTGACTAGATGTGCCACATCTAATTGCATAACTTGATATTCGGTTTGATCATGGAAAATATAATCCATATCCTGTCTCTGTGAGTGTTCTGATATCTTGTTTTCATCTTGTTTCCATGGTTAATTGAAGAAGTCTCACTTTATTCCTTGGCCCATCATATTTGGAGTTTTGAATGTGGAGATCTCTTTACTAGCCTAAGTTGGTTCTTGAGCAAACGGGGCTGTATTTAAATTTGTTTGCTGTGTTTGATGGAAATGCTTGTGGCTGGAACCTGAAGTTTGTTTTTCTTCTCCCCCTAGCTTTTGGGAGATATTTTGCTCGATCGTTCAAATGCTGCTGTGATGGTACGCTATGTCAGCTCAAGGGATAATCTGAGGATTTTAATGAATCTTCTGAGGGTATGTAATCTGCCTTTTGATGAAAATCCACAAACGTACACAAATTTCTCACAGAATTCTACGCGTAATTCTTGCACTGAAGCCCTACTCTAAAAGATAGGCTGCAGATGAATTGATTTAGGCTCGATAGTCCATCGTTGCATCTTACATGCTACATATACATATAATTTTTTTTTTTTTGGGTTTGAGGGGTAGAAATTTAAATAGTAATAACATTTACATATAATAATTATTCTGAAATTCTCGTTATCTAAAGTTGCTAGATTTCCCGTTTTGCAGGAGTCAAGCAAAAACATTCCGCTCGATGCATTTCATGTGTTCAAGGTGTGAATATCTTGTGTTTTGAATGTGCTTGCTTGTGCTCTCTTAATTTAACGGGTTTGTGTTCTCTGCCTGTAGCTTTTCGTGGCCAACCAAAATAAGCCTCCTGACATAGTTAACATTCTGGTAGCCAACAGAAGCAAGATTCTACGTTTCTTCGCTGGCTTCAAGATTGATAGAGGTATGGCTACTTTTAAAGCCCCCACACGTCACAGTATAGGCGGCAGAGCAGAGGTTGGAGAACTATGGCCTTGCTGCTAATTGTCTTCTTTTTAACCTTTGCAGAGGATGAAGCCTTTGAGGCGGACAAAGCTCAAGTCGTAAAGGAAATCTCAGAACTTGAAGCCACAGCATCCATTGGCAATTCTGGAGAATTACGAAAGCTCAAGTTTTACTGAAGCAAATTTTGTAAAAGTGACTGAAGTTGCCTTTTGATTAGAAGAAACAAATTTGTTGATGAAATTATCATTGTAAAGTAACTGAAGTTGCCTTTGATTAGAAGAAACAAATTTGTTGATGAAATTAGCAAATGACAAATGATGGTGAAAGTGTCAAGAATACAAATTGTATCGAAAGAGCTGGGGATCCTTCCCTTCCAAGGTTTAAGAGTAAACCAGAAATGCGAAAATGGACGGACATTTGGTTTTTTCAAGGGAAAAAAAAAAAAAAGAGGTTTATTAACTTATTAAATTACTTCTTCCATCTCATAAATAAAATAAATTATTTTGTAACTTTTTCTTGTCCCAAATTAATCGTCAATCTACTTTTCTTTTAATTTAATGAAATTTTATCTTTATCCTTCATGCGGCCGATCATTTATTCTCAACAATGATCAATACATCAAATAAAAGATAATCCGCTACTAAGGATAGAAAAGAAGTTCTCTCTCCTGCTAACATCATTTTACATACATAAATTACACATTCTCCAAAAAATATGGAACAAAGGAAGTATTTAACAAACAATAATAACAAAAAAGATAAAACATAGATTTTATTTTATTTTTTTCTTTTTGGCGCCTGCTTAGAGTTTTGGAAGTTTGTTAAGTACTAGTAGTATACGGCACGTGACAATATTAAAATTTTATTGTGGATCCATTTCTTGCATGCTTATCCTGCCGTACCTGTAGGCGGATGGGGAATGGGTAAAAGCATTAATAAGGTAAACAAGTTCAACACGTGCACGGAGCCTCAGACTAGTCCAGTCGCGGAGGCTATGAGCGCAAGCGCGGGGAGATGAAAGCAGACGCTTAGATTATTTTATTCGTCTTCATCGTCGTAAGTTTTCCATTTTACTCGGAAACTTTGAACCTTCAGTATTTAAGGGTCCGCGGTCGTTGTTTTTGTAGCTTTTCTGTCCGCGCACCAGATGTTCGATGGAATTCCTAAGTGAGTATGTTTATGGGGTTTAGAACCGAAGTTATCGCTAGATTGTAATCTGTCTGTCTGAATTGGTATCGACAGGCAGCAAATTAGTCCATTCCCTTTTGGCTCCATATGGTTCATCATTAAGTTGAACGTAACTCTATAATGGAGCAATGCTTCTTTGGTAAATAAATTGGAATTCGTTCCTGCATTTAATTTCCAATTGACATGCATGAGTGGGATGTAATTTATGGACGATTTTTTGAATTGTCAGTGATGCAAATAAGGCTTTGTAGTAGCAATCAATCAAATGGTGTTGTGCTACCCTTCCACACCTAAGAAGTTGGTATCAACGGTGGCATGCTTCCTTGGTGGTGCTTGTCTATTTGGCTACGGGTTGCATCTGTGGCACTCCAACATTGGCCCTCAGCAAGCTCGGATTAAAGCTCGGAATGAGTTTGTCAGACAGCGTTTGAGACAGAAACATGGAAAGGAGTAGACTGCCCATATCAATATGCTCCAGTTATTCACGGCCTTCACCGCTGCTGGGAGTAATGCTACTTGTCATTGGATCACTGGCTATTCAGAAATTATGGTGGTGGTGTTTCGAACGGTTCAACTTGAAATGACTCTAGTAGAATTCACTACAAGACTCGGCTGCGTGTAGTCTCTTCAATGTAGCTTGCAGTTTGCTAGGATTTTCTATTACCTGACTCGCTGAAAATAATAACAATGTTGCCCTGATTATGAATTTACTGGATCAAAATTAATAAGATCACTCGTACAGCAAGGATTGAGAGATCAATGGTCGTAACCGTCTTCCCTCTTCTCTGTGTGAGTTGTCTTCCTCCACCTGATTAATAAGATTGATTACACTATTCAGCATTCTGTTCACCAGGCTTTTACGAATAATTTGGTAAGCATTCTGAGTTTTGTCATTCTCCCTCCAATTCTTTATTTTGTCTAGGATTCCCTTTTGAAGTCTTCTTTACAATCCTTAATCACCCCACCAATTCTCCTATGGCAATGGAGTGCAAACTTATTTCTTATTTGTTTTTAGGGATAATTGCAGAAACCTCCCTTGAGATTTCTAATAGTTGCATTCACATCCCCGGAGGTTTTGAAAATAGGACTAACCTCCCCTAAACTTAAGGTTTTGATAGCAGATTCACCCATGTCAGAAAAAATGCCATTAAAAAAATCTTTTGAGAAGTAAGATAATAATTTTGTTCCATTTATACTCTTTTTGTCTCTTGTGAGGTTGTATTAGTAAAAGAATGAAAAATATTAAAAGGTGGAAACAGTTAGTGAAACTAAAGAGAATATAAGGGCAAGGAAAACTAGTGCGGTAGCAACAATTAGAAGAAGCAATGAACATACATTCAGAAATCTAATATTGTAAAACATATAAAGTGTACATCCAATTTCAAAAACTATCCTTTACTAAAGAAATTTTTTGTATTAAATTAAGATAATAAAGGATTGCTTATTTATTATCTTTTGATTGCCGCAAATTTTTAACAAAAAAAATCCTTAGATTTTGCCTTGATTTTTGCTTTCTTTCTCCTTCTACTTCATGAATGTTTAAGATAAAGTGAGGTTAACCAAAATCACCAGAACTTATTCTCTTATGGAGCCTTGTCTGGAGGTTTCTTTCCCCTACATTTTTCTTGCTTCTGCTTCTCTTCTATGCAGATAATATACAATTTAGATTGTCCTCTCAAGTGCTATCAATCATAAAATAACATTATATTGGAGCATCAATTGGCGTCATTTTATAAGTACACTTACAGTGTCTAATCAGGCAAGAAATAACTGTGAATCTTATTTAATTACTTATTCTGAACTTGTTTATTGCTTTTTTTTTTTGCCCTAAATTTGTTTACTAACAACCTTAAAATCTAAGGGTGTATAGGTAAATCCACCCTATCTTACATCAGTTATATACTCCAAATTCATGTTAGGGGAGGTTAGAGCTATTTTCAAAACCTCAAAGGAGGTGAATGCAACTGTCAGGAACCTTAGGGGAGGTTTTTACAATTATCCCTTGCTTTTACATGTTCCGTCTTTTGGCTCTAACATTTCCTTTTCTCGCACGACCTCGTTGCGCCTCTATAATTTCGTAAAGGGTTTGTCTTGTAAGGAGACATTCAATAACAAAAGCAATACATGTTAACTTTTAACACAACTGAGGGAAATTCTTATAAGAACAAGGGTCCGTTTTGGATTAGCTGTTTTTGGGGTTGTTTTTCAAAAACAACACTGTAGCATTTCGCTTTTGAAATATAAATCTGTTTGGATTAGTTATTTTTTGAGTTGTTTTTCAAAAACTATATGAAAAACTTTTACTGTAGATATTTTTTGGATTATTTTTAGAGGTATTTTTAAAACATATTTTTGAGTATTTTTATAATTTATAATTTATATATTTATATATTTATATACATTTATGCATTTATAATACATTTATAAATATTTATATATAAATATATTTATATAAAAATATATAAATGTATTATATTATATATAATACATAATATAAATATATTTATAAATGTATAAGTGTATATTATTATAAATGAATATTATATAAATGTATAAATTAATATATTATAAATATATATTAATATTATGTATAAATGTATAAATGTATTAAAATTATGTATAAATGTAAAATTAATATTATGTATATTAATATAAATATATAAATGTATTATATTATATATAATACATAATATAAATGTATATTATAAATATACATAAATATATATATTATGTATAAATGTACATTTATATAAATGTATAATATATATAATATATAATTTATTATATAATATATAATTTATATAATATATAATATTTATATAAATATTTTTTAAATATATAAAAATATTTTTTAAATAAAATAAGTTATTTCTAATATAAATATATAAATATATAATATAGAAATATTTAATATATATAATATACATTAATATTAATTATAAATATTATAATATTATAAATATGGTGCTTATATAATATTTCAATTTGTAATATTTATTGTATATTTCATTATATAAATATTTATATAATATATAATATATAAATATATAATATAAAATTTTCAATTTGTATAATATACATAATATTATATATATAGTATAATGTACATAATATAATATATTATACATAATATACATTTATACAAAATTAATATTATGTATATTATATATTATACATAACATTATTATACACAATAATGTACATAATAATGAAAGTACATTAATAATGTATATATTATAATATAATGTACATATTATATTATGTATAAATATTTTTACATTTATGTATACAATATTACATATTATGTATATTATATTATATTATGTATAATGTACAACATTATGTATAATATTAATGTATATAATATATAATATATAAATATATAATTTTCAATTTGTATATTTCAATATATATTAATATAATATATATATATATATATACATATAATATACATAATTGAAATATACATATTAAATATGTATATTTGAAGTTGTTTTTGATATAATGTTTGGATATGGTGTTTTTGGAATTGTTTTTAAAATACACATTTACTATAGCATTTGAAATGTGAAAAACAATTTTTCAAAAACAGAAGCAAAAATAAGGAATCCAACGGACCCCAAATAAGTTTAAACATTAGAGTGTTCGACTTGATTAGACTAATTTACATCACCACTTCCTAACCACATATAAATATCCAGCTTAGCATTTAATGTAAAGGTTCTTACATTGTAATTGGTATCCCTTGTGCATACAGGCTTTCTTAATGAATCTCATTATTTTAACAAATTTGAAATGTTATCCAAATTTAATTTTTTTTATTTGTCGAATCGAGTTTGAACGAATTTTTTATCTAATTTGAATGTTATCAAATATAAAACGTTGCTCAAATTTAGCTTAACTAATTGGTGAACAAAACTTAAATGAGCTGGTTACCAAATCAAGTTCGATTCAAATGTCAAGTAGTTTGGTAAATCTTTCATCTTTATTGGGAGGACCCTTATTAGAATAAATCTTGGGCCCCTATTAGAATAAACCTTTTTATGATGTACTTCTGTACACTTGTTTATTTAGTCAGAAGTGCTAATTTTTATTTAACTAGATCTACCTATTTTGTACCTCAAATACACAAGCGGTCTCTTAAATCTCGAAGATGGGGGCCTCCAATTGTCTAGAAAGGTTCACGGCCATGATTTGACCAAAAAAATAATATGCTAGCCTCAAATTACATTTTGTACATCAATTTTAACACCATGTATGAGACTCACAAAATTTTATTCTATATTTACAATGTAACGTGTGGAATTCACAAAATTTTAGTCTATATTTACAATGTGTTAAAAGTAGGGAGGGGGTTAGGGCGGGGGATGGGGCCACCCGCTTTAAAAAAATAAATATAATATATATATGTATATAATTATATATATAATATATATAATTTAATTAGTTATAAACTTATGAAAATGATATTATTAGTTATATGTATTATATGATGTCTATTAGTATATATAATATAATTGATATTATTAATTATACTAATAATTATATATGTGTACTAATACAAATTATTAATTGGTTATATTAAATTTACTAATACATTTATACTAAATCCCTAATTACACTTAATACAATAACATTTTTTCTTAAAAAAAGCACAAACACAATAATGAATTAGTGATTATATTTGTGCCAAAAGTGAAAACTTGACTATTTTAGTTATATTTATTTCATCACGTTGGATTGTATTCAAATAATTTTTATTTGATTGCTTTTATAAGTTTCAATTGTAAAATTACAATGAATAATAATTTGATGATGTGTTGATATTTTAGTACTTAATTATTTGTTAAAATTTAACCATAATAAAATTACATAACAAATTTTTATTAACCCTGCGGGGGAAGCGGGGCGGGGGCGGGGAGAGTTTGTAGGCAGCGGGGCGGGGGATGGGGGAGGGGTCCCCCGCCCCAACCCCACCTCGTTGCCATCCCTAGTTAAAAGTAAAGTACATCCTAAATAAATGAGATTACATCCTATATCCTATAGAATTGAATAAAACCTGCCTAAACGGTTACGTTTTCGACCCCTGGTCTGTCTCCTAGTCTGAACAACGTACGGGCTTCTTTTTTGTCAGGTAAACACTAAACCCTATTTTCCATTTTAATGGATTCTACGAGTTAACATTCCTATCGTACGGCAGGAAACATCAACGCAACAATGAGATCCGCAGGATGTCCAGTAAAAAAGAATATTTTATGTACTAGGGACTATATTACAAATACTTATAATTCTCTCAAAAGTACACCATTGCTCGACCTCCCCATAAGGATAAGAAAAATGAAAAAAGAACATTTCCAACCTTCCCATAAGTATAAGAAAAAAGAAAAGAGAACATTTCCAAGAGCGACAACACCTACAGTAAAAGCATGGACATCAATCAAAAGAATAGAGCAAGGAATTAATCATACAAGTTTTTAGCGGAAAATTCTGAACTAGCTCTACACTCCTAGGCGGCTCTAGGAGAATGTGAATCATCTCAGCAATAAGGTGAAAGCGGAAGAATGTATTATTATGATATTAGCACGGCAAAAGTCACGAGAAGAATGGCAAGACTGCTGAGGAATGTGTTTGCAACCATGGTTGGACCTTGTGCTGTGGTTGGACCTTGTGCTGTGGTCCTGTTATTGGTGCCTGCAGGAGGTCTTACCACAACATGGGGCAGAGGTGGCTCAGTCACATCATTCTCTTTCAGGACCGGCTTAGGAGCCTGAGGTGGTGGTAGAAGGAGCCGATCCATAACCGAAAAGAGTGTGCCAGGTTGAACTGGGAGCATGTAAGAAGGTGCCTGTTTGTATCCTAGACACCGGTTCTCTGGGACAGTCACAAGACATCAAGCACCATTAGTACACTAGTAAAAAAGCATAATGCAAGATCCATAAATCAGTTCCATGAAAACTAAAAACTTTGGATGGAAGAGAGAAAAGCATGAATTAGTTTAATATAAACAAAACTATAGTGGTTTGACATTATCTATTCCCCAGAATTATCAGATACAATGTGGATATCGAAGCAGAAGAAACCATAATATGTTACTGGAATTGATAAGGTTCTTACTCCTGTATCGGGCTGCTGTTGCTGGGTAGTCTGTAGCTAAGCCATCAATGGTCATGTTGGAGACGTACGTGTTGATCTCCACATAAGGGTCTGAGAAAAAGTCCCACGCCTGAGACACAAACTCGTTGCTGAACAGTTGCACATAGACTCGGAGGCCTAGGGCCTGGACCTTTGGCACTACATATGTTAAACCAGTGAGGAATGCCTCTTCACTAGGATATACGCTTCCTTTGGTTACGAGCACAGAGCTAGCAAACTTCTTTATCTCCAAGATTGTTGAATTAGTTATGTCACTGATAGTTTCGTTAATCCTGTAGACCAATTCATACTTGCTCTTCTTTCCAATATTGACGAGAACAGAGCTGTCTTCAGATTCAATCAATACTTTCTTGTTGTAACTAGATTTATTCAAAGTAGTAAGAACTGCATCAACTACATCAAGCCCCTGATTTTGAGCGAGGTATGCAGCATGCTGTAGGACAAGAACCACAAAGCGAAAAATTATATGTCTTAAAAAACATAAAAATGGTAAAAGTGCACATGACTAAAACATTTGGAGTTCATGCCCTAAAAAATAAGTGAGCAGCATATTTTGAGTTCAAAAACTAATTTAAGCATTTTCTCAGACTGTTGATTCCCCATAGCAAGTCAATCATAAAGCTAAACTGGTTGATATTTCTAGTTATGTAATTCCCTTGATAGATAAATCCAAAAGCACAGACAACATATTCTTTGAAAAGTCAACCAAAGTTAACAACTGACCATCCTTGCCATTTCAATACCCACAAGTAAACTAGACCAATTTAAAAGTAACTTTTATCGGTCAAGAAACTATAGCTAGCTTATTCTACACAAATTTTTAATGTTGTTCATTCTCATGGTCCAGGCACAGGACATAATAAGCCTATAGTTCATTAAAGCACAACACACCAAGTAGATCTTCCCTTCATAACATGTGTGCTTCAGAAATAATATGATCAGCCAATAGTTCAACAGGATAAACCTTTTTGATACTAAGAGTTGGCTTACCGAGATCATACAGACCTTGGCTCCTCAAATTAACAACAATTGATCAGAAGTCAAAATTCAAAAGTATCGTCAATATCAACCTTTTGTACATACTGAGAGAGAAATTACATCAAACAAAACTGCACCACCGAAAGAAGCAAAAAATTATTTCCCCAATAAAATGTTGGTTCAGAATACTGAAAATCACAGCATCAAACTTCATACATCTCAAACTGCTTATGGCTACCCAAAGATTTCGACTGCTTTTCCTCCAATCATGCAACAGATCCCAGATTTTAAAAAAATACTAGTAGTTAAAGGAACAATCTTACATCTTCTTTGTTCAATTGTTCAAACTAGAATTTATGTTATACTGATGCACAGAAAAACTCACCTCTATTCCAATCAAGACTCCAGAAACAGAAGTTGCATTGCTAGCAATGGCCAAAAAGTCCGACAGTTGCACAAATTTCCCATCATTTTGAGCTTTTGGATTTCGGAACAATGCATAATTTGTGTACGGGTTGTACATTGAAGCTGTAACAAGGACCAAAAGTTTACCTTAATGTTTGAAACAAAGATTTTTCGAGACTAATAGTGCAATTAATATCTTCACAAAAGCAACAGAGGGTGGAGTAAATATGGTAGTCTTAGGGTCCGTTTGTTTCGGGTGAAAATATTTTCCTAATTTCCCGTGTTTGGTTGCACAAAAGTTACTGAAAACATTTTCCTATGTAAAATATTTTCACTCATCTTATGAAAAACAACTTCCCTTCCAAACTTACTGAAGTTGTTTTCCGAAATGCATGCATCCCGCCTGTAGTATGTTCCAAACTTACTGAAAATATCTTGTAGTATGTTCTTTTTTTTTTTTAGTGTAAACAGGAGGACTCCAACCCAAGATCTCTTCCTTACACTCCCTCCCCCGTACCACCCAACCCAACCCAACCCTCCCCCTAGTATATTCAAAATAAAAAAAAACCTCATCCTACTCATCCTATGCTAGTAATTAATTATGTATAATAGGGACATTCTTTTCTAGAGAAACTCTCAGCAATAAGAGTGCAAGATATATGTCACAATAAGCATTGCATGTGATTGATATTTGACACTAAATGGCCAGCAATTTGTTTATTGCTTAAGGAGATATTTTTTATTCATATATACATTTCTCCAAGGTTTTTTAAAGTTAAATAATGAGATAAATTTTCTTATTTTGCATGGGAAGAAGTATGAAGTTATAATGTGTAGAAAGTAAAGATAGAGATAAAAGTGAAAATATTTCAAAAGTTAAACAAACACCAGAAAAATGAAGTAAGAAAATATTTTCAATAAGCTAACCAAACACCTGAAAATGATGAAAGGGAAATGATTTTCATGGAAAATTACTTCCACGGAAAATAATTTCCCAAGGAAAACATTTTACTTCCAACCAAACAGACCCTTAAAGAATTGTCCATGGCATTTTAGCAAAAATCAGTTAGTAAAGGAGAGACTATAAATGCACCAACTAGTCATACTAGTTTTACCATAATTAGGAGCATCAAAATATTTTACCCTAAGTAATTTTTCATAGCATGGTAAATCGGATGAGGTCAACAAAAAACTACTTCACGATGAACTTACGCTTCAAAGTCTGAATTTGACTCCATGTGAGATTGAAGGCAAATATTCCATCCTGTATGTTAAGATCTGGAATGGTCTTTGTGAAACTTCTGAAGACTGATTGAGCAGCTGTTGTTCTTTCTATAAGGTTTATAGATCCCATACAGAAAGGAACCCCATCCTGAGACATTTGAACTGGACAGTCAATAAAATCTGCTCCATCTGTAACAGCTCGGTCATATGCCTTATCAGTGCAACCAGGAAATGTTCCACTTGCTCCTTCTTGTGAGATAATCAGAACCTTAGCTGAAGCAAAGACAGGAGAGAAGGATTAATATCTTGATAGCCCAATATGATGAATTGTTGTTCTCAAAGGAAAAAAAACAGGGCGAAAATTTTAGCTTAAGCTATAGAGTGGCCAGTGAACTTTGCATCAAGGAAGCACTCGTTTTAGTCTTGTACCTTGATCAGTTTCGTTTTTGCCAATGTGGGAGAAGCAATCTGCAAGAGATAAGGAATTTTAAAATTCATGAGATAGACATCTTACATATTTAGCACAATGAATTCAGTGAAATACATGCAGAGGGTGAATGTAGTATCAACAGGTTCCTAGAGTCATTCATATTTTACCAATTTCATAGCTAAAGGGGACATTCAAATTTCAGGTTTAGCAAGCATGATCCAGACTTGCCAACTGCATTGCAAAGACATATAAGTGCTGAAACTTTTCTCACTTCATGGGCTTCTCATATTTGGTGCTGCATGAATTGGAGTCATAGAAACCAAAGAGTGCTGAATATTCTATGAACTTTGTACTCCAGCTCATAATTACAGAAAGTTGATGTCTGTATTAAAGTAAAATTGCCAGTTTGCTAGAATCTCCTGTCAATTTTCAAGTTACAACACCTTTTATCTGGTCGCAAGCATGTTCAACAAAATTTATAAACATGTCAATGTAGTAAAAATTATTCATTTACTCTCATAGAGTGCTACTTAGAAATGGTTTAGTTCTAAATTACATGGCCAGACGCTTCATCTAAGACCTGACTTGTTAAACAGGAATAAATGAAGTCAATTAATTCTGCATCTCACCTATGGTCTCCGATGGAGTTATTGGGAAGTCAGATAGCACCCCGTCCACGGAAAAGTTGCCATTATCAATATAGGATAGATATTCAGCTACAGGATCATAATTATAGTCGTAGGCAAAAGTAACATCACTTGAGAATTCTGATGCATAAACTTCAAGGCCTGCCTCGTGAGCATCCAAGACTATAGATGTATGAGGAAGAAGATAGTGGCTGCTGCTATCCACAGGCCATATGTAGTATTTGGGAACAAGAATACCAGAGGCAAATGTTTTGATGAATGTTAGATTCTTTTGAAGCGAACTATATGTCTGGTTGGTTGAGGGCTCAATATCAGCTGGTCCAAGAAACCGAAAAACAAGCTTGGTCACACTAGGTCTGAAGCGTGCAGCTATACTCTTTAGGAAATTCACCTCTGGTGATGAAATATAATTAACAACCACCCTTCGAGATACAGAGATAACATAGCTTCTCATACTTAGATTGTGTTGGCTGTAGAAAGCATCGTGCTACAAAAACATTCGAAACAATTACTCAAGATGATAGGTTTCATTTGCTAAAATATTCAGAGGAATGAGGATGAATTACAACTCTGCAGTTGGCACATACCTGAACATTCAGCCACAGTGCAGATGGTTGGACTTGGGTTGCAACATATTCAACCGTAAGAATTTGTTGTGTTTCATCAAATCTGTTAGTTCGAGAATAGATTCCTTGCTTCACTATACAGGACAGAACACTTTGTCAGTGTAATAGAAAAGCTTTAAATGTTTAATTCTTCCTTCCTAAAACATTTTTCCACTCCAACATAGTAAAAAACCGATGATGAAAGTGATCTCAAAAGGTTTAAGAAATAATTTCAGCTGCAAAATTAAGTTTGTTATCAGCCGATGAGAAGCCAATGTTCACTTGAATTTCCTAACCAGCCCAGCTGAAAAACTCCAGCCAGATACCTATCTCAACAGCTTTTTTTTTTTTTTTTAAATCTCAACAGCTTATTTGCTCTTAATATATTCCACGACAAATGCACAATCCAAAGCACTGCCCAAACAAAGTGAGCCGTTTCTTGGAACTGGAAGCTATTACCAGAAATGAAACAGAAGGATGAGAGGAAATAAAAAGTTTGGCATGAAATCTGCAAGCAACGTGGATGTGGTATTCGAAACAAATCCGATGACGGGAGAAAGGAGGGGATGAACAAGGATCATGTGCATGCTCAATAAGAGTTATAAGAGTATAAGTAGTTAATAGCTCTTCACAAACAATAACTTACAGCTGATGAGTTGCAAGTCCTTAAGATTATAATCAATTGAAAACCATCCGTGTGTAGAGACCCCACTGACAATGTAGGTACTTGCCCTATTATTGAAAACCACATTAACGTCAGAAGCATTGTCAAGCTTCAAATCTGGAAAGCAGATTCCCGCTGCATCCTTCGTGAGCTGGACATCACACCATAGGACTAAGTCTGGTAAGCTCGTACCAACAGCGAGTACATATGCATTGTAGCTTGAATCTGGGAATAATCCAGAAAATCCTCCACGAGCTATGGCTACTGGTGCAGATCCTGTAAAAGAAAAGCAAAGAAGTCACTTCTTCTTCCGGCAAGTGTTGCATGGAAAAAATTGAAACCCAAAAATGACGCTAATTATTTAGTCATTCATAGGTAGCTTCGTGAAAATATAAATTTTGACTTCAACTCCTGCAAATCAATTGAGGCTACCATTTATGTAACTAGTTCTTCAGCTGCTAGAGTAAGAAAGTAATCTGCTATAAGGAAATCTAGAAAATATTTGAGTTTTTTCATCTCACAGACCTGATTTAAAGTTTCATTCAGGTATAAAAATTTGGAAACTGTTTGATATATATATATATATATATATTTATATAACCTTTGAGTTCTATAGTCTTATGATCATAATCATATTTCGTCATTTTAGACTAACGGAGATGGTCTCTACTAAGCAATGGAAATTAAAGAGGTAAAAATCCAAAAAAAATATAGCAATAATAAAAATAATTCCTGCTCTTTTTTTTTCTAAAGGAAAAATAAACCAAAGCAATTTTGATTAATTGAAAATCCGGTTTAACTCTTCTCAGCAGATTAACATACTCCACACGTTTTCAACACGTGACAACAAAATTCTTCTTCCGCAATTTCCACTTCCGAATTTCTTCAATTCACTCCATCGTTTTATGTTATTTCTTTTTCTAGTTCCTGAAATTCGACCAAAAACAAGGAGCTAAAAATAGGCAGACAGAGGAAAAAACAACCTAACACTACTCACCGCTGAGAGTTTGCCATTTTCTAGTGGATCCTCGAGCACTAACCAATGCAGCAGCTGAAGAAAGCAGGAGCAAGAGGCTAAACAGCGACCGGAGCTTCCACATTGCCGGCAAGTTCAGCCGCACGAAACTTGTGAGGATATTTTTCAGGCTTTTATTGGGAGATGTGAGAGACTTAGATTTGGATTTCAGAAGAAAGAACTAGCAGCAGTGTATCAGCTGAAAGGGAGAAGGAGAGGAGAGAGAGAAAATAGCTTCTTTTTCTTTTTTCTTTTTTTGGTGTGGGGGCGATGGTACCTTGCACTCTGGCTTTTGCTACTAGTTTAATTGTGGGTTGCCAGAAAGGCCGTAGAGTTTAGGTGCGTTTTATTACTCTCTTTTTCTGATTAAATAGACTTCTGACAGAGCTGGAGCTGCGGCTGAAATTGAAGACCAACACCCGAGCTAGCTACGCTCGTGTTAGAGCCGCCTTTGTGAATTGCGAGTGAGTTGTCAGCGTAGTTCAGGGGAAGACTTTTTTTTTTTTTTTCTTCTCTCTTTCTATGGTCTCGAATTTGCGCTCATTTACACTTCTCATCTTATCTTCTTCTTATAAGAATTTCCATAAAATTGTATCAACTTAGTGGAAAAAAAAAAAAAACACCACCTTATAGAAGAAAAAATGGGACACTTCTTCACAATAAAGACAAAATAATGTTCCCGTATGTGAATACAATATATCACGTCCTTAAATAGAAAAGTATAATTTAATGCAAAAAATGAAGTAATTTATTACAAACTGAAAATCATACTCCATCGATATAAGTTTATGTACCACTTTATTACAAGTAAGATAAGAACAGTCTTACTAGAAAAAAGTTAACATTTTCTCTTTTCTTTTGAAGCTTGTGTTTAGAATTAAGAAATTTTGTACTTAAAGTAGGATCCGAGAAGTAATTAGATTAGAAATTTTGTACTTATCACGTATATTGATGAATGAAAAAAGTAGAATTCATTTATATTTTTCATCACGATATAGAGCCATATTAATTTTCACACAAAAAATTATAGCGGGTAATTACAAATTTTGATGAATGTACGTTTAAGGAGTTTATGTAATAGTTCATTTATTAGGCTTTTATGAATATGGTTGGAAATTTGAAGTTGCGAATTCATTCCAATTGATTAAAAAACAAATACTCCTTGTAGCAGGATTAGGAGAAAGAATTATTTGATCAAATGGATACGCTATCAAAAGGCAAGTTTTTGGGAAAAAGAAAATCGTTGAGAAATCTGGTGAGAGGCCACAGATGTGGGTACATACAGCTGATGGCTGGGACAGTGACGGAGCCAGGATTTTTTTTTTTTTGGGTCAAAATTGAAATTCCATTCAAAGATGACTAATTCATATATATATATATATATATATATATATATATCAACTCTCATAATATAAACTAAAATTGAAAAAATTTAGGGAGGGCCAATTTTATTTTACACACATATTTACATATTATGAATTAAAATTCTCAAAACTTAGGGGGGGCCATGGCCCCCCTCTGCCCCCCTTGGCTCCGTCATTGGGCTGGGAGCCATTTTTGATCAGCTCAGTGACCTGGTGATTGGACGACAGCTAGACTTTCGACAAAAAGACATGGGTCAGAGTTGTCTCAAATCCTACGTGTCCATCCCTTATTTGCTCTTGTTTTATTTACATGTATAAATATATACATGTATAAATATGTATGTGTGTGTATATATATATATATATAGAGAGAGAGAGAGAGAACTTTTTTGTGTCCTCTGAAAATTTGTAAACGGCGTTAACGCTTACGCAGTCAACAAACGCGCAAAACGGGGAGGCGGCGTGGTCCGCCCGAGCCGTTGCATTGTTTGGCTTGTCGTAGGACAGTTTGCAAAAGAAATGCAATTAGGAGTTTAGGACCGGACAAATTAAAATTACTACTACTGCTACTACTTAGACGAAAGAAAAGTTTAAGGAAAATAAAAGAAGAAGACAAGTTATTTGGTTTGGAAGTAGTAAATGTTTTGTTTTGTTTTCAAAATCCATAATGGAAGTCGCTATTGGGAACAGTAAGAGACAGACTCCGAATGGAAATCCCAAGTGCTCAGAATTGAATTAGGTGGAGTCAATTTCATATGTGCAAATGGGTAAACGCGCATTTGGGATTAATTGACAGTGAGTGTGTTTGCATTGTAAGTTATTTGAAATATTTTTACTGTAGCACTTTTTGTGATGTGATGTATGTGAGATAAAAAGGTAATTGGGAAGATAAAAAGGTGTATTGGAAATTGTAATGGTGATGTCAGCAAATATATTTGGCCAAATAATTGGCTGTCCAAACACCCTCAGTGACTTGTATGGTTTAAGAAGCTAACGTGAAATCATACACCACTAATGGTCTGTTTGATTAGATGTAAAATATTTTCATTAGGAAATTATTTTTTGTTGAAATTATCTTCTAGGAAAAGATTTGCATTTACATAATTTTCAGGTATTTGGTTGCGATTTGAAACTTTGCTCCTATCATTAAAATGTCAATGAATAATTGCCACCACCGTTGCTCTCTGCCCATTGTTACTGTACTTCACCACCAACTGACAAATCCCAACTTATGAAATCCATCCGTGAAATGACATTCTTTTTATGTATTAGTAATATTTACAAACTCTAAATCGAATTTTCATAATCAAATAGTATAAACTTTCAAGGATAAAGATCAAGGGCAATTTGATGAAAAAATTGGAGTTTCAAAAGAATCCGCATGGAGAAGGAAAATTCAAGTTGCTAAAAAGGAGACAATTCCATTTGCGCTGAAACGTTGTCAGTAATGTAATCATTGATGAGTTTGTGGTGAGTGAAGATTCAGCAAATTGTTTAACACGCTTTTTGTATCTTTTCGTGTCCTTTGTAGCGAATGTTCCTCTGTCAACAAATGACAGAAGTTTAGATTTTGCCAACGGGATGCGTTGCTTTGGAAATCAACTTTAGTTCCTCGTTTAAGGAAGTTGTTTCACATCAAAATGGGGAAAATAATTTATTACGTAAAATATTTTCACCAGTTCTAAGGCAACCAAACACAGGAAATTGTGAAAAGCATTTTCTATAAAATATTTTCAATCCAAACAAACACACCCTAAGTACGTACAATTGACTTTAAAATCAATCAAAGGAATATGCAATTATTTATGCCATCAGTCCAACCCAATATTCTATATTGTTATGTAAATGAAGGCAAATATTGCGGTTCAATACCAAATGCAAATGTTTTCCCAAAAATTTTCAAGTGTGCTAGGATATGTGATTATATGGAAAATTTTTCTTTTTTTTTTTTCCCTTGCATCACAAATAGGTATCCTAAGTTTTTTTTTAAAAAAAAAAAAAAAAACTTCTCAACTATCTGATTATTTCAATTACATCATATTACAAAAAGTACTGTGAATAATTATTTTAAAGAAATTTTCAAGTAATCTTCTATCCTTCAAACACATGTAAACATGCTAATGTAGATGACGTATAAAATGCATAGAATATTGTACACAACTGACACAATTACATGAAAATTTGCATATACATTAAAAAATGAATAAATTTTATATACACTATCACGGTTGGATGGATGATTTATGAGCAATTTTTGAATTTCAAATTTAAATTTTACACATGTATCATATATCTAATGGTGATGGTATACATATTAGTAGTATATATAAAATTAATCCTTAAAAAAATTACACTAAAATTTGAATAAGTAAATCCGCTTATTTGAAGTTCACGGCTCAAAATTGTCTAACATTTGACTTTTTTTTTTTTTTTTTTTGAGGGGTCTAACATTTGAAACTCTAACATTAGCTGTCTAATTGCAAGCACGATGCTTATGGAAAACTCATTACAGGATTTTGGTGTGCGGGTGAGGAATTTTACAACGTTATATTCCTTTTCTCAAAGCTTATCTGTACAATGGGCATCACCAGCTCAGGTACTACTAGTGACGTAGCTGCATACATGTCGTGCGCTAATAAATATAAGTCGTAATTTTTAGCATCGTAACAACCATCTCTTTTCGTTCGTTCCTTCCTTTTTTTTTCCCCTTTGTGCTTTCATGTTTCCTTTGATAATTAGTAGGTAAAAGCCGCAAACGTGATAGACGCAGAGATTAGCTGCCATATGTCAGATTAATATCTGTATATCTCCAGCCACAGCCAGTGATACTGCAGAAAACTGAAAAGAAGAAGTATGAAAACAGGCGATAATGGAAGTAGTAGCAGCTTTGCGTCGTAGTTTGGGCATGACTTCATGTTAACATCTAATAACTACAAAGTTTTTTTTTTTTTTTTTGTAGTTACACGGGAATACCAAAAAGGATTACGAAAAAGTTCACTAAAAGTATCAAATATCAAACATCATGAAAAGATTAATTAAATATTACGCCACAACTTGCCATACAGTGCCAGCTAACTAGTTGGACAATGACACGGCGCAAGGGTGACTCAATACCACGGTGGGCCGCCCCCCGGGGCGGTGTTCGAGCAAGTGGTTTTTACGCAGGAAAATTGTTTAGACTGTGATTTTTCAAAAAAAAAAAATTATATTTTTTATGAACATATTTTTTAATTATCTTTTTATTTTATATATATTAAATCATTACAATATATTTTTCTGTAAAAGTCCTAAAAATAGCAATCCAAATTGGGGTGTGTTTGGATAGGCTCTATTTATCCAAAAATATTATTTGCTTGCATCATAAATATATTTTTTAAATACATCAATCACCTTTTTATTTAAAACATCACAAACATATTTTTTAACATATTACAAAAAAAGTGCTACAGTAATTATTTTAAATAATCTTCGATCTAAACACACCCAATACTCTAGTTTTTTTGGTTTTTACAAACTGTGAACAATATGGGAACTCTTATTTCATTCTTGAGCACATAATTTAATGCGACTAAAAAATGACTAAATTAAGATTAGGCATCATTTGAGGTTATCATGCTTTTACTAAAAATGTATTTTTGGAAGATAAAACACTTTTAATGTTTTTAATGAGAGTCATTCCTTGAATTTAAGAATAAAGCTTTTGGCCAATAAGGCGCTTTGACATCAATTCAAAATCGATACTCTTAGAGCAATTTTATGTTCCAAAAAAAAATAAAAATCTGAGTTTAACAATTTTATTATAAATTTTATATTAAATAAAGAGATAAGTATGTTTTAGAAATTCAAAATTGTACATTATCAAATAGAAAAAGTGCTTAGGCAAGAATACACTCAAACAAACGATATAATTAAGCACATAATAAATACTTTGTTTTAAGAAAATACTTTAATA